GCAAGTTTGCTTGAAAAAGTAAAGAACGAACCATGTTCATGATTGTTCTATTCATGCGCTCAGCTTTCCCATTTTGTTGGGGAGTTGAGGGACACGAAGAACGGAGATGAATTCCATGAGTATTAAAGTAGGATGCAAATTGAGAGTTATCAAATTCACGACCATTATCACATGGCAAAGCTTTGATCTTAGCACCAAATTGACTAGACACAAAAGTAGAAAATTTAAGAAAAGAATCAAACACTTGAGCCTTAGATGACAAAGGATAAACCCATAAATAATGACTATATTCATCCAAAAATAACAAATAATATTTAATCCCGGAAAAAGACAGTGTAGGTGATGTCCAAACATCAGAATGAATCAACTCAAATGGTTTAGTAGCAAAAGAACAAGACTCAGAAAAGGGAAGACGAACATGTTTCCCAAGCTGACATGCATGACATAAACGTGGTGGCAAAGTAACTCTTTCAATTGGAAGAAGACCACGTCTAGCAAGGTGTTGAATAGAAGTGGTGCCCGGATGACCAAGACGACAATGCCACACATCAGGAGAATGCGAAACAGAATAGACAGCAGGATAACTGGGGAAGGAACCACTAGAAAATGAATACAAGCCATCCGGACTATTGCAACGAAGGAGGACGTTCTTCGTCTTGTTGTCCTTAATAGAAAAACCAAATGAATCAAAGTTAACACTACAATTATTATCACGAGTAAACTGACGAACAGAAACAAGATTTTTGGTAAGATGTGGAGCAACCAAAACATTATTAAGACGAAATTGAGAGTTGGAAGTAAAGAGAAAAGCATTACCATGAGAAGTAACAGGCAATAACTGACCATTACCAACTTGAATAAAATTGGAGGAAGAGGAAGGAGTGGAGTGAAGTAATTTACCAGGATTGTTGGTAGCATGGGTTTGAGCTCCACTGTCAAAGTACCAATTGGGATCCATAGGAGCAGGAACTAAATTTGCATATAGTGACTGGGGTGCAGAGGAAGCAGAGGCAGGTCTGGCAGTTAAGAAAGAACAATCACGTGCTTGATGGCCCAGTCGGTTACACCATTGACAAGCAATAGGGGTTGGCGGAGTTGGCAGTAATGGGGGTAAGGCACGGGTAGAACTATTGGCAGAATGAAACCCAGCCACTTGACCATCAGACTTTGCAAACAAAGACCCATTAAAACCAGCACCATGAGTCCCAGAATAACCAGTCGAAAAATCAGAGGCACCATGTGCAACATTGCCGAAGCCGCGACCAGAATAAGAATGGCCAGAAAAATTGGAGCGATGATTCCACACAGTACGACCACTTCCGCGAGATCCCCGACCTCGATTAGTCCGGCCTCCCCTAAAAGAATTATTTCGGCCAAAACCACGACCTCGTTGCAAAGGAGCAGCATAATGAATCTGGAGATCAGAAGGGTGAGTAAGTTGCAACAATTGACTGGAACTAGAAGAGCCATTCATCAATGAGCTAGTTGAAGATTCCTGCAAAATATTAGCTTCCTCAATCAACAGTAGCGATCGCAATTCCAAGAAAGTAGGGAAGGGAACACGTTGAGGAATAGTGCGCTTTGCCACTGAAAAGGAATGATCAAGACCAGCAATAGTTCGAAGCACTAAATCTTTATCAGATACTGGATGACCAATTCCTAAAAGCCGATCAGATAACCCCTTGACATACTGCAAATAGTCCATAACACTCTGGCCAGACTGCTTCTGAATACCACTGAATTCTTGAGTTAATTGAAGTGCAGTAGCACTAAGTTGGCTTTGGTACAACTGATGAATGGATTCCCAAGCTAATTTGGCTGTGAGCTGCTTACCGGGTTGAAGAATAAATTGAAGAATGTCTTTTGATATAGTGGCCTGAATCCAAGACAGAACCTGATAATCAACCTGCATCCAGGAATCAAAAGCCGGACTGTTAGGGGAGGGACACAAATCGGAACCATCAACATGACCATAAACGCCTTTGCTTTTCAATACAGGAATCATCAATTCCTTCCACACAAAAAAATTAGTGTGATCAAGAGTTTCTGCCACATAATTCCGAATATTGGTGACGGAGAAAACGGGATGAGAGAAAACAGAGGAGGCAAGGGTTGTGGGTAAAGAGGAAGAAGTAAGAGGAAAAGGAGGAATAGGGATTGACGGCGTGACAGACACAACAGGAGAGGAAGGGGCAAAAATTGTAGAAAGAAACGGAAGACCAGTGGGAATAGGAGAAGTAGAGGAAGGAGACAAAGAGGAAGAAGACGAAGACTCATCCATTGACGCAGAGGCACAGCAGAATAAGAAACCTAGGGTTTTGGAATTAATTTGGTGCTAAGAGAAGGCTCTGATACCATAAAGAATATTGAGGCTGAATCAATCTTTATTAGGTTATAATCAGGGTATTTATACAAGATGTATAGAAGTATATTTACACTTCTAACCCTATACGATATACACGTGTATTATGATATACATTATCATTTAATTTGCTGAATTATGCTCTGGATTCAAATGGAACAGGACGGCAGCAGCATGTCTACAAAAATGGACAAAAATATATATCGAGGGAAGCAGAGATGTTAATAGAGTTGTTCAGGTTTAAATCCTTCAAGCAATCATCATTTTCTGCCTCATCCTGCTAGTTAACATGCAAGTCAGCCAAAGACTAGAGACTTCTCTATCCAGAATTAAAATAAAATGTTGTTCTATATACAAAAAGGTTGAATTCATGTGGCTAGCAGTGCACAGGGGTCTGGTGTCGAAGCCCCATCCCCGTTCCCTTTTCCCTCAATAATTGACTACACTCAAAAAAAATATTTTATAGTTTTTTTTGCATATTTTTAGTTATTTATTTATTTATTATTTTTTTTTTACAACGTTAATGATTAGGAGATTAGTATAAGTTAGTTATTAGTAACTGAAATCTCTCGGATCGGGTGAACATCCCACCTCCTCAAATAAAGCGCGTGATCATCGAACCGTTTTTTGATGAAGTTCACGACGATAATAGAATTCGAAACTCTAACCACCGCCTTACCCAAGTACTAAGGCTTGGGGGACACTTATTAAAGAAGAGTATCTATGTGTTACATTTTCTACCTTGTAAAGGTGTTAAATGTTTTGTTGCACTTTTTTCCCTTTTAAATGTATTTAATGATTTTTTTAATAAAGAAAATGGTAAAAATAAAATTTGGAGGGTAATTAAATATGATTGTATTTTTTAACTTTTTTTCGTAAAATTTTCTTTTATTATATTGTACAAAAATGTGTCAGAAGAAAATATTACTAAAAAAATTTGATTTCAAAATTGTTTTGTACAATTTAAATTGTACAAAACTAATTAATCGTTAATGAAAGGAGAGTTTTTGAGCATGATGCATGCTGTTCTCTCCTACCTCTCATCAGTAGTTACTTATAAGAATATTTTAAATAATTAAGAATTAAAAATTAAAATTAAAATATTAAAATAAATAAAATAAATAAAAAATATTTTTATTATATAATTTATAATTTAATATATAAAAAAATCAGCGCAAAAAAAAAAAAAAATCAATTACTCTGTCTTGCACGATTTGGTTTTTAAGGGATTTTTTTTTTTTAATTTACTCTTTTCATGTTAAAAAATATGGATAAATTTATGAACCGCGGGCTACTTGACTTGTCATATTGGTCTTTGTGCCGTAAGCTTTTTCTTTCTATATAAACATGATATGTCCCTCCGTTTCCTCCAAAACGCTCCTCTCTGCTCTTTAAAAATACATAGATACAAAATGGGCAACTGCGTCGCATCTCAATTCTCGGCAAAGGGTGGCAGCGTGAACTGGCTACCATCTACAGCCAAGGTCATACATTTAGATGGAAGCCTTCTGGAATTCCCTCATCCCGTCAAATGCAGCTCCGTCCTCTCACTTAATCCCGACTGCCTCCTCTGCAACTCAGAACAAATATATGTCGACTCTCTCCTACCTCAGATGCCCGGAGACGAAGAACTTGAACTGGGTCAGATTTATTTCCTCATCCCTCTGTCTAAATCCCAAGACCCAATTTCCCTCCAGGACTTGTGTACCTTGGCTGCCAAGGCGAGCGCAGCTCTAACACGTTTAAACGTGGGAGGTTCACCAAAGAAGGCGTTACGATTTCCTGATGAGAGTATCGTTTCTCTTGGACTCACAACTGGAGCTCCAAGGTGCTGCAAAGTTCCTGGATTTGATCTCATCCGAGTGAATTCGCAGGGGAAGGCAAGCAACAACTAGAAAATCAACTTCTGAACTCTAAAAGGAAAGGGACAACTGTGTTTGGTATATTAATTATTATAATACCTTCAGTGGCAGATCTGTTACCTAGCTTGCATATTTGGATTTTTTGCATAATTTTATCTGTACAGATGCGGAGTGGGACTTTTTTTATTTTTCTTTTTTTAACATATTTTGCAAAAGCGGGTTTCGAACCCGCCCAGAGAAGGAGAATGCACCGGCTGGCTTTTGCCAGTAACCTCAAGGGCCAGGTGTGATGCAGAGTGGGACTTGAGAGTTTTTTTTATATGTAATTATATATTGCTTTTAAATATTTGTATGGTTAGTAATTTTGTTTAGATTGTTTTTTTTTTTAATTATAAAAAATTATAGTAAATTTATAATAATTATATATATATAATCAAAAATTTCATTTTAAAGCTTTATAACAATGGTTTTTATAAAAAAATATCCAATGTTTAATATAATTATAAAATTACTTATTAAAACTTAATTTTGTATAGTTTAATTACATTATAATTTATAATATTATAATGATGATAACAAATTTAAAAAACTTAAATTATTAAAAAATAGTAAATATTATTTATTTTAATAATTATATATCTTACAATATTTTTAAAGTTTTAATTAATAATTAATAAGATCTATTATATTTTATTCATAATATTTTTAAGAAACAAATAAGAAAATACAACATAGTTCAACACAGTTACAGTTACAACTACAACCACATCATTTTACAGCAATTTCAAACGCACCCTTAGTCCAACAATGTTGTTGTGTAATTATAATTGTAGATTTTTTAATATTTTAAAAAAATATATAATATATTTAATATTTATTTTTAATAATATTTTATATTTTTAAAATAATAAAAAAAATAAATAAAAAATAAAACATCAAGAGAATTATTGTCGAACAAAGTCCTAATCAAAGATGGGTTTGAGTTACCTATACTACCATATCATTAACTATTTACACAATTAGGTGATAATTTCTTTTTACTAAAAATAAAAGGTTATAAATTTAAATTATATAATATAAAAGTAATTTGAGTTAAAGAAAAATGCATATCATTATCAATTTCTAAAATTAATTAGAATTTCAATTTTAAATTACGTTATTTTATTTAATTAAAATGAAATTCAAAATTTTAAAAATAATCTTATTAAATATTGATATATTAACATAAATATTAGGTTTTTAAATTTAAATATAAATATTTCATAGGATAAAATTTTAGTTTCTCAATATAAAATGGAACTTTAATTATTTTTAAGAATTATAATTGACATGCACTAATTTTTTGAGTTAAAATATGAGAAAAAATTGATTTCCATTAACCCGTATTAAAAAAACATTAAATATATATATATTAAACGAGGGAGAAGGTTACTTTTATTATCTAATAAAAAATATTTTTTATTTATTATCATGATGTCTGAATAAATTTTTATATGCTTTAAAATTAATATATTTTTAGGTGATTTTAAGGGAACATTCTTGTATTAATTTGATATATTTAAAAAAAATTAAAAAATTTAAGTATTTATTCACAACTTTAACTCTACATTTAATTATAAAATGACATTGAATTCAAAAGCAATATATGTCTAAAAAAAAGAGTCTATTATTTTGTAATCTAAATTATATTAAATTACAAAATAAGAACTTTTATTTTAAATAAGAAAAATTTTAATATGAGAAGACTTACCTTGCTTTAAAGGTTTTTATAGGTTTTTATTGTGTAATTTAAATTTATAATAATTTTTTAAGAAAAAAAATAGAAGTTTTAATAAGTTTTTTTTTTGAATCTACAGTAGTAGAATAAAATTATTATCCATTTTGTCAACGTTTGATCGTACAAGGCTGTTTTGAAGATTTATGTCGTGGACAAATTATTCTCTATGTTATTATGGTTTAAATAATAACTAGGGTTTTTCTTTAAAAATAAAAACACTAGATTTTTGGCATGTGTCATGTTGCAAACGACCATAAGAGGATGTTTGGTTAAGAGGAAACTTTTTTTTCTTAAATTTTTTTTTTACATATTAATATTATAATAAAAATAATATTTTTAATATTTACCTTTTAACATAATTTACTATCCTAACTTTTCTTTTGACACTTTTTAAAGAAAAATATTTATCCTCAACTTTGCTTACATACTAAGCATTTGACAACTCTTTTATCAATTTTTATTGTATTAATTTTTTATCAAACATATAAAAATAAACAATTCAATAAAATTATAAAATTTTATTACAATATTATCAACTCTTTTACGATACTTTTTTAACTATTTTTTCGAAAAATACTTTCTCAATAAAGTTGATACTCTTACCAAATAACCCCTAAATGTATTTCTAAAAATCTTTATTCGAAATAAGAATATTACTTTTTTTTTTTTTTTATGGTAAGAATATTACATTTTTCAGACTGCTTTTCTCTCAACATGTATATCCCGTGTCCAAGATATCTAAGAAGGCAGCTTCATTTCATTTTTGATAGCAGCACCCAGCTGATCATAAGCTTCTGACCAAGCATTCTTCATCCCCGGTGACCACACTTCCAGCACTGCTTCCTTTATTGTCTCTAACAGTGCATATCTTGCAACCTGTAAACCCCAAATGTTACAAATTAACAAGTCAGCCATACTCTTTTCTAAAAATTTTTGGCCTCGGACAGTGGCAACGAAGATGGCTGCATTATTTATACCTCAAAATGTTCATCAACAACACCATACTTGAGATGGGTGGCACCTAAATCTTTTATATTTGATTCTCTAACCACAGCTTTGCCTGCCTTTCGAAGTTGAACTGCCGATTCACAGGTCTGTAATGCAGTACACATTCAGCTAGAAGATACTATGCAGATATCATTAGAAGGAAGGAAGAAAGAAATTAACTCACCATAACAAAGACAGTCATGGCATGGGATTTTAGTTTTGGGTTTTGCTCTAAGGGAATATCAGAGTCCCTCAAAAATGTGAACAGTTTCTTGGCAGAAGGTGCAATCTCAAAAACCCTAAACAAGTTTTCACACACAGAACTTTCTATCAATAATTTGATCCATATGTAGATTACTGGATTATCATAAACAAAGAGATAATAATTACCATACTCTTCGATTTAATATGCTTTATAATACTTATTACTTGAATTATTAAAATCTGAAACTTTTATTTTTTTTAATTTAAATTTAAAAATAATAATTTTTTAATAAATATAATATAAGATATATATTGAATGAAAAGTACACCAATCATTTTCCTAAACAAAAAGGAGTAATAGTCCATAAAGAATAACCACAAGCAAAACCAACCTCAGGAAGAATTTAAGACCAAATTCCCCAGCATTTTTCTTCATTGAATTCCATGAGTTCACCACCAATGCTTCTTGGTCTTCAGTGAATGCCCGTACTTGGAATCTCCCACTTTTCTCAACAGCTTCATAGAATTAAGAAAAATATGAATGATCCATAGCACAAAATGAAAATTTTTTCCAAGAAAAAAAAAAGGAGAGAAAATTTACTTCTGATTGGTTTTGGCAGTCTGCAAGCAAGGTGCCCCCATCTTCCATCTCTCTTGATCCATGGTAACTCATGTTGCTGATGCCTGAGTTTTGGCCCATATTTTGGATTTAAATAAAAGGTAGAGACATCCCATGCATCAGAGATCTTGATGCCGCGAGCTGAGGTTATTAAACTTTGGTAAAAGTTAAATCAGGAGCAGAAATCCATCAAGGAAAAGGTGGAGGGCAGAATACTAACCGTGGGAGAAGAGACTGCTGGGAGATTTGGAAGCCAGATTGTTGATATTCATCTGATTCATAGCTTTGATCTGAATTAGTGTTCTTCCTGGAGAGCAAAAATTTGAAAGATAGATATAAATAGGAGCAAAGAAAAACAGAAGCTATAAGATGTAGCTTCCCCAGGTGATAGCTTATCTGTAAGACAGAACTTAGTCTACAGAACACGACAAACAGAAGAACTAACCCTTCGGGGTTGGATAGGGCCATTGTTTATTGTTCTTAGCTGGGGCATGCCCTGAAAGCAGAAACAAAAAAACAAACGGCTTTGAAACATGGCCTACCAAGGTACGTGGACCGGTCTTTTTTCCGTCAAACAATAATAAAATAAGAAAAAGTAATGCATCGAAATAAGAAGTGGTGCAATCAACTTGGATGCATTAGTGGTATCCGGATTTGATTTGGCGACTGCCCATGGTATCTGTTGAATGCGTTTTTGGAGCTAGAAGAGGCACTTCCGTGGAGGCAAGTATCTGTTGAATGCATTTTTGTTGAATGCGTTTTTGGAGCTAGAGGAGGCACTTCCGTGGAGGCAAGTATCTGTTGAATGCGTTTTTGGATCTAGAAGAGGCACTTCAGTAGAGGCAAAAACTTGCTTTTTGACCCTTCACTTTACCATGTTCATAAATTTTAATTTTAATTTTATGATATTTTTAATCTTTATTTATTAAAATTAAAAAAATAATTTTTAATTTATAATATTTTAGTAATTAAAAATAAATTTTTAT